ACCAGAGGCATCGCCATTGAGGAGTTCACTTAGTGTAATTAGCTATTGGTATCAACCCCCCAATCCCCAAAATAAAAGTTTTGTAATAAATGTTTTATCTGAATTATTCTTGATGTTGATATACCTGTACACCTACGTTTTCTGAACGTGAATTATTAAATGTGCTTTTTTAAATACCGGTATTTATTATTTTTCAGACACTTCAGTGTCATCTGATGGATGTTACCTAGTACAGTCAGCACCGCTCCCCTCGATGATGCCACTGATCATAATATAAAGTAAACGATCAATATAACAAACATGGTATAAAACTAAATCTCAGGACTTTATAAATTTATTACTAGGAATCGTGGTCACACAATACTTTGCCTTTTCACCCCAGACACGTTAAATATTTTAAGAAGCATTGTGTAATGTTGCTGTTGAAGCTTTGAATTTCTACACTCATTTCATTTAATAATCTAATATATCAGTAACTATATGTATTTTGTTTGTTGGTTATTTTTTACCTTTTCTTCAGTGTCTCCCCTCCATAGGAGGGGCTAAGGTTACAGGTTTGGTGGTGATGGCGGGCGTATTGTTTTGCACAGAAATTATACATGTAAATAAGTAGTAATATTGTATGTTTGAAAAGCTGGATTTGTTTTTTAGTTAATTTGGTTGTTTGATCAAGGGCATGTTAACATTATTCAGGGCACACTCCATCAGAGCTTATTCATTTTTTCTTCAGGATGCAGTGAATGAAAGAAGCAAATGAGTTAGGAAATATCCCATTGGAATAATTATTATTAAAGGCCTAATTGTGGAGGTAGTAGTGGAAATCTTACTAGAGTAAGATTAGAACTATTAAAAGATCATGCCACTGATAATTAATCCCCTGATGTCGTCTCTCTTACTTCATTAGCCAATCACTCTTTAATTTCCCCATCATTCATAATGTTGTTACCTTGACTATGGGCATGTCACTTGAGAATACTTTCTATGTATAATCAAAACTAACTTCAGTCATCTTATGGAGAAAAGTCATATCGTCTATTCAAGTTTTATTAAACCCCATTGAGGCTAAGAGATTAATTGAGCTTTATGACCATCATTTGTGCTTCTATTCATATTTCTAAATATAGGTATGTAAGTATGTAAATAATTTACATTTCTTGGATAAAAAATTAGAGGATTAAGTGACCAGTCAACATTACAAGGATCTTATTTTTTTTTAATTTCTGGTTATTGGTCTTTGTTATTAATCATTATATAATATATTGGCCAAAATAAGAAGTCACATCAGCACTAATCAATGTTTGCTGATCACCTTGAAGAACATTGAAGTTCAGACAAAATCCTCCACAATTCAATGCAACTCAGATCTAAAAAAAAAATTGGGGGATGAACTAGAGAATTTACTTTCAGCTGTGGATCAACTAAAAAGAATTTAGTAAATTACATAATTTCCTGCTTGGCTCAAGCATTGCACCAACTGTTACCTAACTTCTGTTGCTCATGCTCATTGTCAAAAGAGTATTCCATTAGTCATTGTCTTCTTTCCTCATTTGTTCAATTAACTTCTTTCTTTCTTCAGCTTGCCTCATTCTCATTAAAACCAAGCTTTCAAAGTCATTGTCAGATTGGGCAGTTTTATCTTGAGGCTCAGAGACACCACTCAGATTACTATATTTGAATGAATGTTCTTCAAGGACAGGTTTACTGTTGTAAGGGGTAGTGGTTTCGTTGTCATCTTTCAAGTTTTCACATGGTTTTCCAGAAAGCCAAACAAGCGTCAATGGGTTACTCTGGTGCCCATGTTCAGATAATATATCGGATGACACTCTATCAAACTCCACAATAGCACTGCCTTTCCTTTTCGTGGTTACAAAAAGGGTATTGATTTTGCCATAGCAACTGAGTAAGTTATGTAAATTGTCATTGTTATAACCACCATTTGCTATGTCATCTTTATTTGCCTTCCACTTGAGTTTGATCCTTGGTGGTGATGAAGACGGTGAAGATGTGCCGGGGTTAGAGTTAAAAGCTTGATCTAAAGTGCTTTTAAATTGTTTTATCTCTTCAGGTAAGCGCTGCTGTTCTTGTTCAAGTAACCTGTGGTGTAAACAAAAATTCTAAAATATACTAAACTGATAAAAAAAATGTATGAGTTACTTTTATAATTTGTTTGTATTGTAATAATAATAATAATAAAATGAATAATAGCCAGAAACACATTTAAATTTAGGTGTTTTTTTTTTTATTAAGTGATTGAGCAGTTAAAAGATGCTGTTCTAACATTATGATTTTAAAAAATGTGCAAGAAGATCCTTTTCTGGATCATCTAAGTCAGCGGTTCTCAACCTTTTAAGCTCTGCGACCCCTTTTTACTATCCCCAACTCTGCCGTGACCCCCTACACACACACACACACAGCAATAGAAGAATACACAAAATACAATCCATATTTTCAATGGTCTTAGGCGACCCCTGACAAATCATCAATTGACCCGTCAAGGGGTCGCGACCCACAGGTTGAGAACCCCTGATCTAAGTCATATCAAAGAATTCTGGGACAATAATTAACTATTTATTTCTTCTGATTAGTGTGTTTCAAAGATTCTTTTAGACAAAAATTTTCTGGAATCAAGTTTACATCAAGTTTAGATAGAATATAAACAGAAGCAGAACTTATTCTTGAGTTAGTCAGTTTCATTGAATAGAAGTTAAGTCTACCTCAATATTTAGTTAACTATCATTTGTGATTTATTCAAACCTGGCCCATTCGCTGTGTGGACTTCAATTAATTCATTGAGATTGTATATTTCTATCTTGAATACCTTGTATATATTTCAATTTAGATACAGGTAGTGGGGGTTAAGCTGAAGTATTCAGCCCACTAGATTCTAGATTTCCAATCTAGAATTACCAATTAATAAGCACCACAACAGCTTCACATTAACATCACTGTCAACACTACGAATGGTATTACTTGAATCACTTCTACAAATATAAACAACACATAATGCCAGAGTGAAAATATGAATCTAAATAAATATGCTTCTCTTAGTGTTACAATTGTAGGCCTTATAAAGGACCAGCTTCTGTTGATCTATAAGAGAAAGTCAGATGTGCAATAATCTTGATCTAGTCAAACAAAAAATGTTTATTCCCACCAGGTATCGTATGTAAAAATAAAATTAATAAATGAAAGCTAGATTTACTTTACCTGGAACCTTCCTTTCTTAATCTTTCAATATCTACTCTCACTTTTCTTTCCACCTCTGCTGCTGCAAGGGCTTCATTCTTTTCAAAAGAGGCTTTTTCTCTGGCTTCTAAATCTTCTTTGAACTTTTTCCTTTTGCTGTCTAAAACTTGATTTCTTGCTTCAACAGCTTTCTTGGCTTTCAAAGTCTGGTCATAAGCAGCTCTTGCTGCTGCATCAGTTAATATTTCTAGAGCCTGTGACAGCTCATGGAAAAGTTCTGCAGCTTTTGGGTTGTCGGGATTTTTATCAGGGTGACAAAGGAGTGCTTTTTTACGGTATCCTCGTAATATCTCCTTTTCTGATGCTGTTTCTATCACACCTAATATACCATAAAGATTTTTCTTGTAAATGTCTTTAGACATTTTTCACCTTTAAAATTGATATTAAATACTACAACAGTTAATAGACAAAACTAGATTTACTTATTAATGTATGTCCAAGAACAACGTAGCACTGACGTTTGAAAGTGAAGTGAAGTGAACATAAACTAAACAAACACCTTTACTTTGGTAGAGAAGAAGATCTTGATATAGATGTCAATTGTTGAGAGTAAGCTCCCCTGCCTTATAGAATGATACAGACCTATATATCTTGTTCTGCAATCATTGACATTCAATTTTGTTATGTCAGTGCCTAATCTCTATGGCCTTGAGTCGCGAAGCGTCTATCGATCATTTCATGGAAATGAGAAAAATATATGGGCATTAGATCTAGCTGTGGTCGGAACGATGTCGCCCACACATAAGTTCTCCCCTATCCACTCAGCTGATGTAGGCCTATTCTGTTCGGGGTCAGCGGCGTCGCAGGTTCTGCCAGCGTTCATTCCAAAGAGACTTAGACATAGAATCTAAGTCATGTGCTAAATTTAGCCGTGCATGTTAATTCGGGACACATTACTCTGCTAGTTCCTTGGTTTCGTTGACTGATTCAGGCAGCAATGTCCCATGCTTTAAATTCTAAAGGCGCTAGCCCTAGGAAAGAAGAACTGTCCTAGCATATGCATATAAGAAATGTAGCCTATGTTGCATTTCTGGCTACATTACTGAACACTTCTCGTTATATTTTAAAAGTTTAGCTCTGTTCCCCTCACAATTAGGTCTTCATTCTGACATTCTTTCATTTGTAAAAAAAAAAAAAAAAAGTGAAGTTCACCTTTCAAACCTTGTTATCTATGGGGCAGATGATATAAAGGTCATCTGTTTCTGCTGTGGCCCATGGTTAATGATGGTGCCAAGTGGCCAGCATAATCCAACCGCCTTTACTTTTCCACAACTAATGTTAGGTACCTATTAGAGCTGGGTGGACTCAGAGGCACCCAAAGATCCAGAAATTAAATCTGAGTTTCACCAGGATCTCGGTTCAGAAGTCAAGCACTTTACCCCTCAGCCACCACCTCTATCTTTTGTACACATGTAATTTAAACTGTTTTGGCACCTCCCAAACCCCTCGTTTTAGCTTTACTCACTGGTGATCATTTATAAAACAAAATCTAGCAGTCGATAATTTTTTATAAATATTTGGGTGGTCTACAACTGGGACCACACATTTAGAATTTAAATTAGCTAATATTCTAAAATGAATTTGTTCCTATTACCTGGAGCTCTAACCCACTTGCCATTAGAAGCTTTGGCCTTAAAGATATCATCTATATTAAAATTTGATGCATAAAGACAAAACATATAAATTAACCATATTTTATCAATTCCAGTCATTCATTTAGTGGGACAAGTTTTTGTATGTAAATAATGTAACAAGTTATTATTGATTGCATCACATACATTTTTATTGATTTCATTGAATTTTGTTGAAATCTTAACAAAAAATGTATAAATAAGTTAAAATGGAAATATTTTATGCACAATATTTTGTTTTAACAACCTGGATAGCTAGTTATATTTTCTTACATCGCAACATTAAACAAACTAAGTATTACATGCTATTGGAGTATTATTTTAGCAATCTTTTCATAGGAGATATTTGTAAAGTCTCTGCACAGTTAGTATTGGAGTAGAGACCTGGAGAACCACCAAGAAAAAAAAGGTATTCATCATACCATATTCTTATGATCTGCTAGGCAGACAAGATCACTAATAAGGAACTGTGGCAAAGAATAAAGCAGCAGCTGATTGAAGAAGATATTTTTTAGAGAAGGCTAATGAATAGGCCACACCCTTCGCAAAGTCTGCATCCAACTTTACAAGACATGTCCTCACCTGGTAACCCCCAACAAAGAGGGACAGCCCAGAAATAAAAGGGTCGAGATTCCGAACCATATGGGCAAGACGTATGGACAGTTGAAGAAACTTTCTCAAAACCAAAATGACTGGAGGAAGATGGAGGAAGATGGTTAAGGCCCAGGCAGAGGATAAGTTAACTAAAATAAAATTCCATTGTGATTATTGCTTATTTAAGTCACACATTTTTGAAAAACTAATACAACTAATAAAAAAAAGTAAAATGTTCTATTTCCAAATATTTCTGTACTTTAACTTTGAAAGCTTGTATGGCACATTACATTCAATGACAAAATTGCAGTGATGCACCAAACCTTTTTCAGCCTGGGAAAGTGGAGGAGGGGGAGGAAGGTGTAAAAATTTTCTATATGTGTTTCATGGGCCATATCATTGCAAACAAAATCGTCAAGTCAGATGGAACCAATTCTCTAAGGCTTCACTATATACTGTGAAAAGAAGTTTCGAAATGCAAGATTGTACCTTACAGAGGGCCAGATCTGGACCCACTGGCCGTATTTGAGGCATCGCTGCAATGTAGGATTACAACTAAAAAAAACATCTCAGAGAGACAGAAGTAATGAAAGATCTAATGCTTAAGGTTGTTAATGTATTAAGTAGCCCTAATAAATGATTCACAATTATTTGAAACAGAAGCATAAAGTTATCTAATTATGGAACAATGGTTAAAAACGTGACAATAATAATTTATTTTATTTACTATTACTACCCCTTCAACAGGGTCATTGCTAAGTAAAAATATATTAGCCGTGATACTATAAAGGTTCTAAGTGACCACACCACATCCAAAAAGTGACCATAACAATAAAACATTGGACGGACAATAAAAGTTCAGAAAAAAAATAGAAATGGTTTTTTCAAGTTTCTTGCAAGGCTGACCTGAACTGGATTATACACATTAATTTTTTCATATAAGTAAAGTTGAATGAATTAATCTGATTAGCACGGGGAAGAATTTGTACTTGTGCCACTTTTTCCTTCTACTACTAAATACATTTAAGACAATATTCAAAATAATGTCTAAAATACCAAGTTATAAAACAAAAAAACAGATAGATGTCAGTCTGATACTGGCGCTTAAGTAAATCACAACTCAATAGTGTAATGCTCATCATTTCCAAGACTATGATTCAAAACAAAAGTTTAATTAAAACAAAATTTATACCTGTATTTACTTTACATAAGAAAAGATTCATGTTAAATGAACGAGCAACAATCTTATACATTTGTCGTTTTAATCCAAACAAGTTAACTAAAAGTGAAGACGCGATTGAAAACCTAAAAAAAAATATTTTGCAGAAGAACATTAAAATATATAAAATTCATTTCCTAATTAAAATGACTGATTTTCAATGTTTTTATTTTTTTTTTAAATGTAAAAATGAATACAATATATAAATATCTCAAATCAAATTTTAATTTTAAAACTAATCTGCAAAACTGCTGCCATTTTAATTGTACAAGTTTTTAACATTTTGTTCCATATTTACACAAAAAAATGATTTGTAGAAGAGATGAGATTTTTTCAAAAATATTTTAACAAACATTTTTTTTATAAATTAGCTCCTTAAGAAAGAAAACAGATATTTACAAATACTCATTAATCGAAGAAAGAAAAAAAAACTTGTTATATAAAACAAACTGAAGTACTAAAGAAATGCGAAATTTGTACAAGTATTTTGAAATTGAGATAAGACAGTATGCACTTACTATAGAGCTAAAAAATAACTACATTTGTATTTTGTCTATTTGACTTGCAGTCATTTCAAAGTCCTGTTGTTTTTTATCAGTAGTCAATTAACAAAAAATTAAAAAGTTCTTTTTTTTTTTTCCTTTTGTTAATGATTTAGAAATATTTTAAATCATTGTTTACATTTTAAAACTTTTGTTAAAAATCTAAGTTTATCTGAATTTACATTTTTTTTTAAATATGCATTGTAAAAATGTTAAAACCATACAAATAAGAGTTTTAGTTCTGAAAGACATGTACAGAATAATATGTACACAATTTTTTTTATAGGTTAACTGACAATGTTCAAAAAAAGAGAAAAATACAAATTTTTTTTAAGTAATTAAAACAGAAAAATAAATAAAACAAGCAAAATATTTAAAAAATTATCAAGTGGAAGAACTAAAAATTTACAGCCATATCTCTCATAGCTATTATATTTTTTTTTATTTTTCAGTATTAAACCAAATTAATTAATCATCACTTTTTAATTAAATTAATTTTTGACTGATTTGTGTTTTGTTAGGAACAATGAATAATTCTGCAAAGTTTCAACTTGATCCGAGAATGGGAAGAGGGAAAAATGCGTGTTCAAAATTTCACCAAAGTGATTGGACATAAGCATAGGTTCAAATAAATGCCTAAACAAAAAAAGATGAAGTACTCTACAATCAATGAAATTAAAAGCAAGTGCTGCAATTCATGAACAAAAATTGACAATGTAAAAAAAAATGTAGGCACTTGCATACACCAGGTCTGCTGCCACACCAGGTTTGATTCGTTTGTCTTTCTTCTCATTTTGCATAATGGTTAAGCTGAATACAAACAGCAAGTTGTAACATAGAATAAAACTGTTATTGTCAGTCATGCCTAATACATAATTTAAAGTACATCCAAAAGAAGTACAATGGCATGAAATAAATCAAATATGTTAGCATTGCTCTAAGTACACACATTGTACTATAATAGTGATTTCTTTGCTTTTGAGGGCGATGTCCTGAAAACAAAAAAAATTGAACACATTTAGGATAATACTCATCAGTGCTTTAAATAATTTGCCTTTTTTCAAATATAATAAATGAATATGGACAAAGTATTAACTGAAGATTTCAAATAACCTACATCTCTAGGTCATCCATATTTAGCCTTTTCTTAGCTCCTGTTGGTACAAACTTTTTCACTGTTTCATTAATACCTTTTAATTTTTCAGATGACTGCAAATAAAACAAATTAAATACTGTGAAGTTTGATTCATAATATCTTTATAAGCAATTATAAAAAAAAATAAAACACAAAAGCACTCAATTTACTCCACCACTTCAAGGCTATAACTTTACACCCCCTCCCTTAGTATGTCACCAAATGTTAATTTTGAAAGTGTATCTCCTACCATCTTCCAGAATTTCCACAAAGCTTAACTATCAGATTGTGAAACACCCAGGGATTATATTCTACAAGTAGTGCATAATATCAACTTACCCCCACTGTATCACCAAAACAATACAACAGTCTAGTAGATGGTGTCATCTGGCCTGGAGAACTTGGAGTCTTGAACGATTCTTTTAATGGTGAGATTAGGAAATTTTTTCTACCATTCAGACTGTATAAAACAGATAATATGTACCGGTTTTAGAAAAAAAAGTTGATAAATTCAATAAAAGGGCAAGTGTTTGTAGGACAAATGTGAACAAACAGACACAAGTGTAAGAAACTAGTGTGGGAAAAAAATGATTTATTATAGAAATGTTTAAGAAACAAACATTAGAGAACTCATTTGAAGTATATAGTTAAGAATTCAACCAAACTTTGACTTACCAATAACTTGGAGATTGCTTTGGCATAGGTGAAAGTTGCTGCCTCTAAAAAGATGAAACATAAACTCCATTGATCAAGAAACTAATTAATACTAATAAAATATTGGTTGACAGTTCTTAATTTCTATATTAATACAGATACATATGAAAAAAAAAAAAGATGTAAAGTTAAAGCAAGTCAGGGAAAATTTACAAGTTTACATTTACATTTTTCACCTATTAATCAACAGCTAAGTCAGAAAAAAAAAAAAAAATTTTAAGAATGCTATAAGATATATTAAGTACCGGTATGATACTCTTAGTCAAAATGGTGTTATTGCTTTGAAAGACAACAAATAAAACTGCTGAAGGAATGTGATTACCAATAACAGAATTTGCAGACATTAACTTACAAAAAAAAAATGATGCATCAAAACTTAACAATAATTCATTTTACCTTTTATTTCTACCATATCTGGAAGCGAAACACAAATCTTTTTATTTCAGCACTAAATTACTTAACCAACATTCCGGAATATGTTATAGTCAATTTAGAAATATTTGCAAAAAAATTATAGGATTGGGATTTAGCTAAACCACTATTTCATTTACAGTAGAAGAGTAGTTTTCCAAAACTATTTCCAAATTTATTTATTTTTTATTTTCATTTTAAAAAAAAAGATATTGACACAGAATTTTTATTTATATTCAATACTTTTAAAGCTTCATGCAAAATGATTGGCTGATGATAAACATCAATAATTAAAGTCACATCTACCCTGTAAAAGCACAAAGTAAAAAGAACTAGCAAAACCTGTTAACTTGAAGTATATAAAACCTTTGATATTTTCGAAACCACAAAAAATGAACTGTGTTAGTTCAATGCTTTTTAAATGAGGTAAGTTAGCTGCAGATTAATGGTTCTAAATATATTAGGTTTTAATAATTAAATAAAATATCTAGTCTTTACGCCTCAAAAGTTTGATGCATGACAATCAAATGTTAGTTCCAAAGAATTCATGACACTTACCACATTTCTGTTTGGATAAAAGTTGAGTATGTATTCCTTCATGTTGACTGTGAAGACGGTGTTATAGAAAGCAATTACAGAATCACTTTTACTGTCATCAATGTAAACGTTTTTAAAAATCTGGAAAATAAAAAATATTACAGGTTACAAATGTATATATTTATAAGTATAATATTTTGAGGCTATTGTATCCAGAGACAATACTTAAATGTATCCAGGGGCAAATTCTTAGGCTTTAATTAAGGGATCGAGGACTGAACATAATTCTCGATACCTCTCTTGACCTAGCCAGTATGATCCTATGGAATGCTGAACAATAAGTTTGTCCCCAACTTAAAATGTAGGCAATAGAAATATTTAATCCAATTCTGATAATATGCTTATGTTAAAAATTGCAAATATTTAGGTAAGTTG